CAGCAAGAAAAGAAACAAACACAAGATCATCCTGACATGTTCCATGTTTTACAAAGTGGAGTCTCAGCCTCAATCTGTATTCTGGAGCCATGAAGTAAGAACAGCTATAATCCCACCCCGCATCATTTCCTCCCATCACCTACGGTCTCTACCATGTGCCAAGTGCAGTCGCAATTGTATAAGCAGACAGTCTACCTACTTTACTGTGTTCAGGTGTGTGTGTGTGTGTGTGTGTGTGTGTGTGTGTGTGTGTGTGTGTGTGTGTGTGCATTTTCAAGCATGTTTGCATGTGAGGGTCCATATGCATATATGTGCACGTGCATGTGAAGGCCAGAGGACAACCTCAGCTGTTGTTCGTCAGGCAGCATCCACAATGTCTAGAGCCAGGGTCTCTCATTGACCTGGAGCTCACCAAGAAGGCAAGGCTGACTGCCAGCATGACCCAGGGTTCCTTCAGGCTCCAGCTACCCAGCGCTGGGATTGCAACCACATGCTGCCATGTCCAGTGTTTTCATTTTTTCTAATGTGGGTGCTGGGAAGTGGAACTCAGGGTCTCATGCTTACAAGGCAAGCACTTTGCTTCCTCAGCGATCCCTACAGTGTTTTATACATGGAATTAAAATGATAAAAAAAAAAAAGATCAGATTACTTGTTCACTTGCCTATGGTTCCTTCAACAATGATTCTAGCCTCATGAGAATAGGTTGGGATCATAAGAAGGGCCTGCATCTGTTCTCCCACTTGGTTCCAAGGCCAGTGCAGCTGTTTATGCTCATGCCCTGAGTTGCACAAAGTAAGTCGGAGCTGGTGCAACAAGAAACTGTGACAAGGGCCACTGCTGGGAGTCTCACGCCATATGGAAGCCAATTCTCCCTGAACAGCAACAGAACAGTGGGAAACACTATGCTTAGGTGAGATTTCTGACACACTCTTCTCCCTGGAGTACTCCTCAATAATCCTCCAGTTTTCTAGAAACTGCAGGGCTGAATTTCCTGACCCTTCCAACCCACACTTATTTTCCAATTGACAAATAGTAATGGCATATATTTCTTGGATGAAATGTGTTTCTTCAGGACACGTGTACCTTATGGGATGGTCAAACTGGGATAGTTGACATCTCTGTCATCTCGTATACGTTATTATGATGAGAACATTGAAATTCTCCTGTGTGCAGTTGGAAGCATGAAAAGCTTTATTAGCAGCATTGTTACCAGCAAGTCACCTTGCTGAACAACTGTACACTAGAACGTTTTAACTTGGTTGTTTTGTGTTTGACATTTTGCCACCTACATATATAGTGTTCACCCCCACCATTGCCTTCTCTTTCCCTCCTACTTACCCCCTTTTTCTTCTTCTTCTGACTAGTCCTCTTATGTGTGAGTGCATGTGTGTGCATGTGCACACGTGTATGTCTGTGCTTGAGTATGTGTGTGTGCATGTGCGTGTGCATGTGCGTGTGCGTGTGCGTGTGCGTGTGCATGTGTGTGTGTGTTCCAATATATTTAGTTAGGGCTGCTTATGTAAAAGTAGGGTGAGGGGTCAGAAGCATGGGCACCTTACCAGTGGCTACACTCCTGAAGAAACTGTCTCCGTCTTCCCCAGCCTGTAACTCTCTAAGATGAGAGAGCCTCATGAGCACCCCTCTTCTCCGTGATGGAGTCTTGACAGGCCCAATCTTGCACAGGTCTCATGCAGGAAATCATGGCTGTGACGAGTTCATGAGTGCAATAGTCATGTCAGGCCTGGGAGACAGGGCTCAACACCTCTCCACCCATCCTCTAGCGCTCACACTCTTTATGCTCCCTATGCTATGATGCTCCGAATCCCTGAAGGGATGATATTTTAACTCAGTTCAATATTCACTTTAAAGGTTGATGACTTTAAAGTGTAACAGGCATGTGCTTAAGAGATTTTAAAAAGACCTAGAGGTAAAAATTATATGTCTAGGGTTGGCAAGATGGCTCCATGGGTAAAGGCACCTGCTGCCAGCTTTGATGACCTGAATGTGCTCTCCAGATCCCACAAGATAAAAAGAGCGAATTGACTCCCTCAAGCTGTCCCCTGACTTTCAGCGTGCATTGTGGTGTTAGTTCATGTGCACACACACACACACACACACACACACACACACACACACACTATGCATATGAATAAATAAAATTAAAGCTTTAAAAATCAATAAATAAAAATCATGTCTAATGAATAAGAACAATAAAAAGGACAGTAAGTCTTTTTAACATCACCATTCAGAAGAGCCCATTACATAGCATGAGTCATCAAGATTATGACTTCCTCTGTGGCTAGGTCCCAGTCCTCAAGGTATAGCCCAGAACTGGCAGTTTTAGGATCATCTGGAAGAACTTCTTCTCAGCAATGCAAATTCTGCAGCCCCTGCCAGAACTCAGAGTGGAAGAACACTCCAAGCCTGTCCTGACTTGCCAGTTTTACCTACACACCCAGCCTTAGGTTCCAGAATCCTAATCATCATTTCATCATATTGTTGTCCTGGGTACCAGGTGGCAGGTGCTGGTCTAATCTTTCTGCAGAAAGTAGCTTAGTGAATTTAAAGAAACTAAGCTGAGGAACATCCCAGCCTTATTGCTGAGATGATGAGGTGTTGGAGAAATTTAAAATGTTCCCAGGAAAGGCAAGAAACTATCCTACTGCACAGGGAACAAAATGTGAAGAAGCTTGAAGTGTGGGCCATCAGTGGTGACTTTATTCTCAAGAGCAGCAACAGGGAAAGGGTAGAGGTCGGATCAACCCAACAGGACAGATGCTGGACAAGTACTGTCTCCTCAAGAGAGAAAACTGAGCATCTACTATGAAGAGCTAGACAGCACCATTGACCTTTAATGTGATGTGAGGGGATCTGCTCTTTGTGGTTTTTCTCATCCATATCCATAGCCCAGTTTAATCATGGGAAAAAATAAAATCATACCAATCTCAATTAAAGGACACTCTAGACATCACTTGACCAATAGATCACAAAATTGCCAAGGTCATTGAGAAAACATCATAGTCTGGAAAGAGCAAAGAAGAGGTGTGTCAAATTATTTTTGTGTCCTAAATGAGATACTGAAAGATAACAAGACCATTAGAAAAGACCCAAAGGGATGTGAACAACACTGACCTTACTTTATAGCAGTATATCAATATTTGCTCATTAACTATGGCAAATGTCCCATATTATTGTAAAATGTTCCTAATGAGTCAGATAAGTATTGGGTAGAAGGGAATTTTTTAAATGTTATAGAATACTGAAACCATTATAAAGTGAAATACTTACTTATTTAGATACAAGGTCTTTTTTATCCCAAGCTTCCCTGGAACTCACTATATTACCATAGAATGGTGTGACTCCACCTCCCAAGTGCTAAGATTATATAAGGACACCATGCTTAAGTTATAGGGTGCTGGGGGTTCTAACCCAAGGCCTTGTGCATGTCAGGCAGGTACTCTACCAACTTAGCCACATCTCCAGACTCTAAAAATAATTTTGTTTAAATAAACACACTTGCATGCACTTGGGAGACCACCATAGCATATTCTAAATTGAAGGATAGAGTCAGGATTCTGATAGCAAACAAAAAAATAGAGTTTCCCAAGTCCTGACTCCTGATGCCTTTGCAGCAGATGAGTCACTGTCTCCCCACTTTCTGATGCTTTCTGCTGTGTGCTACAAAGGCAGGTGGCATGGTAATTATTCCTTTATTGGGTCTGGTGCCACTGAAACATATGATGCTCATTTTCAGTACCTCACCCTGGAGTGTCTCAAGTAGCTCTGCCTGTGAGTTATAGAATACTAATGGCACAGATGTGGAGAAGCCAGACACACTGATGGTGTGCTGGGACCACTTAGCTTCCACAGCATCCAAGGTTCAGACCAACTCCACAGTGGCTCGGGGAAGCTTCTACTCTTCACAGAGAAGTGTGGGCAAGAGATGGACTGTGATCTTACCTACTTTTCCAGGAGTGGGAATACACATGAAGCCCCCCAGAGTACAGCTGGGAACTGTTTCCCCAAAGCCCCAACAGTCTCGTCTAAATGTTGTCAACCTGATCCCCATATTGAGACTCCCTAGGTCATGCTATAATTTTGCTTGGTCTAAATATGTATTCTTCTCAGTCGTCTCTTGAACCATAAAAAAGGAAAAGGCATAAAATAGGACTGCTGGCATGAACATTTTCTCACAAGGTTTTTTAGAAGCAAGATATATTTCAATTCCTCTGCTAGAGCTTGCTAAGCCAGAGAAATATCCTCGGTTTTCAAGTCTGCTTTTTTATCCCAGTTTCTCTCTCTCTCTCTCTCTCTCTCTCTCTCTCTCTCTCTCTCTCGTGTAGACATGAGCATAAAAGTGTGTGGGGAGCAGAGAATAATCTCAAGGTTCATTACTGAGGTACCATTCACCTTGTTTTGCAAGACAGAGTCCATTAATGACCTGGAGCCTGGGACATATGTGGTTTGCAGGTCCCAGGGATCCACCACCTCCCCAGTACTGGGATGACATGAGCATTCTCCCATGCTGTGGGATAATCCTTCCGCACGCTGTGAATATGTATTACTCTGATTGGTTTAATAAAGAAGCCGACTGACCAAGAGCTGAACAGGATAAGGTTAGGTGAGAGAGCCACACTGAGAATGCTGGGAGGAAGAAGGGTTGAGTTGGAAGAGTCTCAAACAGATTCAGAGAGAAGAACAACGGGCTTGTTGTGCTGAGAAAATGTACCAAGGCACATAGCAAAGCATAGACAAGCAATACGGGTTAATTTAAATGAAAGAGTTGGTTAGTAACAAGCCTGAGCTATTGGCTGAACATTTATAATTAGTATTAAGCCTCTATGTGGTTACAAGGGAGTGGCTTGTAGTACAGAAACTTCTGCCTACACTCCCATGCTCAGATTTTTTTTAAAACATGGGTTCTAGGGATCAAACACAGGCCCTCATGCTTGCAAGACAAGTTGCTTACCAACTGTACCACCTCTCCAGCCCTGTCAACCCCCATTCCTTATTCCCTTATGTGCATGTCAAGTGTAGTACATGTGCATGCATCAACAATGGGTCAGGGTGTTTTGCAGACTATGATTACTCACCACTGGATGGCCACATCAGGCCATTTCAGCAGAAGCATTTGTGATTCTGTGAAGGCAGAAGGACTAGAGTCTCTCTTTCTCTCTCTCTCTCTCTCTCTCTCTCTCTCTCTCTCTCTCTCTCTCTCTCTCTCTGGAGCTTGGAGCTTGGGAAGAGTCCACTGAACATGACCCATGGGTGTTAGACAGCATTCCAATGTGCAAAGAGCCTCCTGCCAGGTCAGACTCATTGAGTTCCTGTTCTGTTTCTAGCATCCTGGGTCCTGTGACAGAGAAATCCCAGCACTCTGCAGCAGGGCCAGATCCAGAGGAGGCTCCCAGGGAGAGGAGACCCCCTCAAGTTACAGTCTGGGCTTGCAAAAGGGTCGTTTTCTCCTCCAGCATGACAGGGAGGCAGAGTTATTGCTGAGAGGGACCATTCATCAGAACGCTGGCATTCACAGTGTCGGCCTCTGGAGGAAGGATTCCCATTCTGTAGCCCAAAGAAATGAGGCCATTAGCCTTTTCTCAAAGAGGACACATTTTTAAGGATCTGTCCCAACTAAGGGGCTGTAGTCCTGTCACACATCTGTGATTAGTGCCCTCTCCACACCCCATGTGGGACTCTCTCTTTCTATGAGTCATTAGGCAGGATGAAGCACTCAAGGAACTTTCAGAAGGAATGTGCTATGCCATTACTGTCCCCAAAGGAGGAGCACTAACCCAGAAAACCACCTTTCCAGAAAGAAACACCCACTTCCTCTCTGTTTGAAAGAGGAAATGGGATGCGGAGGAGGTCTTTGCTGTCAGCAACTGTATCATCTAACACAGTGGTTCCTTCTTGTACCCTGTCTGCCTCCAAATAGTTTCAAATTACTAAGTCAGATGCAAGCCTGTGGCAGGGCAAAGTGAACACATGATTTGGATTTGATGAGACACGTGCCTAGCCTCCACCCGCAGACACATCTCCTTGGGCATTGCACAGTGCTCTTTAAGAGGTAATGAGGAGGAACGCTATCATTGCACCAGGGATGCCGGCTTCCACATAGATGGTAAAGATTGAACTATGCCATTTCCATTAACTATGATCACAGGCATGTTAGGGAGTCCTCTTGTTGAACTGCAAATTTCCTGCAGAGCCTGCTGAGGGAATGGGAGTTAGAGAAAGGGTAGCATTGATTATATCCACGGGACAACATCTGACAGGAATCCCCATCAGCTACGAGAATGTCTGGCAGCAGTGTGGAAGGCTGTAGTGGATGGGACAAAAGGATTCCCTCTTTTCTCCTCCACATTCTCAGTCCAGTGTTACTTTCTGTCTCAGAAGGAAAAAGAAAAAAGAGGCGGATGCCCACAGCGCTCTGCCTGGAGTTCTTGCTTCAGAGAAGAGCCACATGAGAGAAGGTCCTAAGACCTACTCTTCACAGTCAATGCTTCTGTAGACAAGACGGTGTCTGAGAAGAACACAGAGAACACACACAGCAGTCCCCCATCTTCTCACTTTCAGCACTGGCCAATAGGCAGACCTGAGGTCATCACGCATGCTTCCTGATTCCCACTAGACCGTCTCCATTCTACACCAAGCATGCTGGTAGTGACTGTCACCTCAGCACTGAGAACTTTGAGGCAGAGGGATGGCAGGCTCCAGGCCAGCCTAGGATACACAGCGAGACCCCCATCTCAAAACTAAAATCAAAAAGTGAGATGAAAAGGTCTCAGTTTGTCTGGCAGGCTCATTCTCTTCCTTTGAGACTATGAGAGGTAAAAGAACTCTCTGCTTTCCTAAGGAATCTTTTTTTTTTTCCTTCCTAGAAAATACTTGTTAGGTATAACGCACATTCTATTGGTAAATTGCCATGGTCTGTTGTGTTCACCGAGAAACAGACCCCAACTTTCCTCAGTGATGGAGTGTGACGTGGAAGAGTAAGATGAAATAAGCCCTTTTCTCCTTTCAAATTAGTGTGGTCACTGCCTTGTCACAGAAACAGACATGAACTAGGACAACTCCCTACTTAGCGTCCTTAGGCCTAAGCATGATGGGGCATGCACATGATTAAAATCAGGTGCATTATGGACATGCACGGTGGAGAAAATGGTACATAACTTAAAAAGTATCAATGAAAATAGAGGCCCACCCAAACTTCACCCTTGGTGAGAAAGTTACCTTTAACTCCATAAAAGGAAGCCCCAACGACAACCAGAGCCCTCTGGTACCCTCGACTCACATGGCCTGCTGCATTTGTTACTTTTCTGTTGCCGTGGTAAGCTCTGTGACCTAGGCCACTTAGAAAGGAAGTTATGGTTCCAGAACAGTTGGATTATGTCATTGCAGGGAAGCATGGCAGGGAGTACCAGGCGCGGCAGCAGGAACAGGGGTTGAGGTACACAGCCTCAAATGCAAGTGTGAAGCAGGCAGAGAGAACCGGAAGTTGTACAAGGTTCAACTCCCCACATCCCCCCTCCATCCCCGGTGACACACTTCCTCCATCAAGGCCATACCTCCTAAACCTCCCCAACAGTACTGCCAACCAGGGACCAAGAGTTTAAATACTCTGAGCCAATGGGGAGCATTCTCATCCAACCCTCCACATGCACCATCACTCTTGACACTGTATCCGAACATTCTGTCTCTTTGCTATGAATAAAATCCCCTTGCTGCTTTGCAAGCCCATGTGAGCCTTTATTTCAGACCCCTGAATAAAAGATCAAGAACCTGGAAACACCAGCCTATTCCCAGCAACAGTAACAAAAAAAAAAAAAATCACTGTCCAGATGGAGATTCTCTTCTTTGAGCCCGATTGCAAACCACCCCTGGGACTCCGGGTTGTAGTGATGAGAACAGGAGGAGAAACTGTACACAGTCAGGGCAGGTACCCCAGAAGCACCTGCTCCAGAAAAGCCCTTGGTCTTGTCCTCACTGGAGGCCAGAAATGTCTGAGTGCTCTGGTCTCTGACCTGCTTCCTAAAAGATTTAGAGTTACCTCTTCAGAGAGCAGCCTTGGTCACGGCCCTGTTGGAGGCCATTATGGAAAGCTACTTCTCTGACATGGGTGGAGACCTAACATTCCAAGCTACCCAGAGCATAAAAGAACTAATTCAGTTGGGCTGGTCAGTTACCTGGCCAAGGGACCATCTCTCCGGAAGGTGGGACCACTGCTAGGAAGGCAGGCATACCGTAAGCCATGCTGAAGAAATAGGTAACTAATTATCCCTTTTAAAAGCTAATGTATTTTTCTTCTCGGGACTCAGGGACTCCTAGCACAGTCCCTACAGGACTCCCCAAGGTTCTAGTGGGCCTGAACTCTTCTCAGTTCTGACTCAGAAAAACACAACTATTTGTCTCTTTTTCTCCCTTTCATATCTTTCTTGGGAGGCTGGCAAGACCGTGAGTATGCTTTTTCTGGTGCTTTGAGCTCATTTTTCCCCAAAGCTCCCATGCTGCTGCCCGCTACCAAGAGGCTGCCTTCTGTTCTGACTTAATTCAAACAACAGAGACCTTTCCTCCTCGCTTCTCCTCTCTATTAACCTTCTATGGGCACTGTTGAGATTTGCAACTTATCTGCCCCTTAGGGCCTTGATTTCCCAATATCAGTGATTCTTCCTGTGGAAGCTTCTCTATGGACATCCCTGTGGAAGCTTCTCTATGAACATCCCTTTCGAAGCTTCTCTATGGACTTCCCTGTGGGAGCTTTTCAAGGTATCTCCACTCAAAGGCATTGTGGGGAATTTTGTTCTTCGCCTCTGCCTCTGGGCCCTGACCTTTAGAAATACAGACAGTTTACTACAAGATAGAACAGGGTTCTAAGAATAGAGATGCCACAGAGAGAAGCAGGCCAAGAGAGCCTGGGAAAGCCCAGAACTCAAATACCCTGAGCCAAGAGAGTTTAAGTCCCTTGTTGGTCATTTACATAGCTGTAGACTTTTCTGAAATTTGAAACATGGGCTTTTCTTGCACAGGCTCTTGACCTTCCATGTACTTTCCAGTCTTTTCCAGGCATTGGTTTCTTTCAATGATTAACATCAATGCCCCTCTCCCTGCCTAACTCTCCTGCATAAAGCATGCAAGCTCTGAAAGGGTCCAAGTGGAGAAGCTTGTGTTCCCATGGAGTTAGGGATCTGACACCCTCTCTGGATATGGGTGAATTCATGTTTACCTTCTTATAATGCTCCATGTGCTCAGTGATCCCAAGAGCCTCAAGTTCATTTCCTTATCCTGATTTACTCATGAGCAGCCAGGTAGAAAGAGAACTGGACAAAATGGCTGTGAATCAAGGTTAACAAACTGAAGAAAGCCATGAAACCTGTGAGGTCAGATTAATACTCGCTCTTTGTGCCACAGTCCTTCCTCACAGGAACAGGGCGAAAACTTTTATGAAATTGGGGTCTTATACTCTACTTTTAGACTAGATAGGTAAGAGAATTTCTTCATGGCCAGCTCCAGACAGACAAACAAGGAAGATTGGAGACTATTTTTAGTTTCTATGACTGCACCTGGGAAAATAATTTTAGTTTCTGTGGCTTGCTTTGGAAAGAAAAATGAGCAGGTGGAGAGGGCAAGAGGACCTCAGAGGGGAAAGATGCTGCTTTCTGAGATCTGCTTCTGAGAGGCCTTAGCATTCTTTTTTTTTTTTTTTTTTTTTGTGGTTTTTCGAGACAGGGTTTCTCTTGTGTAGCTTTGTGCCTTTCCTGGAACTCATATGGTAGCCCAGGCTGGCCTCGAACTCACAGAGATCCACCTGGCTCTGCCTCCCGAGTGTGGGATTAAAGGCGTGCGCCACCACCGCCCGGCAAGGCCTTAGCATTCTAACAAGATGGCCTCTCACCTGTGCTGCTCTGGAGTGGCTCAGAAGCTGCTGCAAGAACTGAGGGTAAAAGGCAAAGCACTTTTAAGAAAGGATTGTTAGCATTGTTCTAGTCACTGAAGAAATGCGAAGTGTTCTGGGAATGATGAGGTAGGAACTGTGGATGAAAAGCAAACAACACACACACACACACACACACACACACACACACACACACACACACACACACACGATTCAAAATCCTCAACAGAAAATAATTGCTCTCAACTTTGGTCAAAGAAGCTTTGTATTGCAGTGAGTAGTGGTTAATACACCTACTCACTACTGTTCAAAGTGCTGACAATGACTGTGACTGTTCATCCGTACTCAGAACATCTGTATCACCCCACCATCATCACCATCACCACAAGCAAGGCTCAGGGAACATCACTGAAGAAGGGGTAGAAAAAAAAACGTAAGTCCCCAGGATGGAGAGGAGCACAGTGAAATGCTGCTCTTTAGACAAGACATAACAGTTGCACACAGAAACACAGAGCAGCTGTGGTGACCTGCATAAGACCTGTACAACATCAAGCCAATTAAAATCTCAGCAGCTAATGGGAAGATACTCCCTAGGCTGCATGCCTAACTGAGGTGCTACTATCAATGGATGGCTGCTGAAAGAGAAAAAAAACAATGTTCCTTTGGAAGGTGGCCTCTGGTAGGTTGTCCAGGCCCCAGTAAGATGACCCGATATATGGGCAGCACTAGTTGAACTCAGTAGGATCTATTTTTAAAAACTTTAAAAAGAGAGGACATGAAGCTTGAAGGGAGATGTGTTGGGGGGGGACCCAAGAGAGCTGGTGGGAGGGAGTGGGCGAGCATATGATCAAGATACATTGCACACATGTACAAAAAATTGCAAAACAAAACAAAATGTTACAAGGGAGCAGGTGAGATGGCTCAGAGGGAAATTCATTCATCTTTTAAACCTAATGGCTGAGTTTTATTTCTGTAACTCATAAAAAGGAGGAAGGAGAAAACTGACTCCATTCATATGCCTCTGACCTCCACACACCCTCTTCCCTCTTACTAATTAAATTTAAAAACTTTTTTAAAAGATGAAACACAACATTAATTTCCAAAAACAGACTCAGGATTGGAATATGTCAAAAGATAAATCTGGGAGCCAGAAGTGCAGCTCATTAGGGACTTCTTATGCAGGTGCACAAGATATTGGGATCCATCCTCACCCCTCGACAATTTTAATATCAGTTTGTGCCCTTATCTCTTTCCATAAATAAAATCTAAGTCAAAATAACCCAGACTCAGAAGCAAAACCCATCAAAATCTTAGGAGAAGCTATAAGAAGTCCCTGTCACTGTGGATTTGATTTCCTAGGGCAATATCAACAACACCAAAAATCAAAACAGTTAATTAGACTAAACAAAATGCAAAATGTCCACATTCAAAATTGTGCCACAAAAAGAATGAAAGAACACCTACACAGTGCTAAATGTACCTCCCTACTGCCTAGCACCTCCCCTCCGTGGACAGCACTGTCTGAACAGGAGAAAAATTCCAAATATAAACAGTTAATATTATCTGATCCCAATAAGTGACACTGTGATCATAACACTTAATTTGCCTGATAAAATCTTAAATCCATTTATAAATCTGGCCCATTATACAGATTTTCTCTAAATCAATAAGCAAATAAGCAATGACCACTAATGAGTTATGACCTTTGCATAATAAGGTTCTGGGAAGGGAAGATGGGCAGAGGAGTCACTAGATGGAAGAAGAGACCTCCAGCCAAAGGGAAGGGGTTGTGCTTTATATTGTTTCAATCTTGTTAAATTTAAAAGATGGTTAGAATTTTGTTGAATGTATTGATAAATGATAAAAGTGATGCTAATCTTGGTTTTATTAATATACAAAAGAAGATTATATTGTCTTATTATGATATTAAAGTAAGCACCTTAATTGTGGGTTTTTTATGTGATTACTCATGTAGACCCCTTGCCTTGCTTGAACCAAGTTTTTTTTTTAATTTAGATGTTTTCACTATCTTTTGAAAAAGGAATGTTTCATTTAATTCAGTATAGTTTGTATAAAAGATATAATTTTAATTTTTTTCTTTTTTTGTTGGTTTTTTTTTTTGTTTGTTTTGTTTTTTGTTTTTTGTTTTTTTTGAGATGAGATTCTCTGTGTGGCTCTGGCTGTTGTAGAACTTGATCTGTAGACCAGGCTAGTCTTGAACTCAGAGATCTATTTGCCTCTGCCTCCTGAGTGCTGGGATTGTATCTGTAAGACATTTTCTAGTCTATCTGCTCACTCCGTGTATCCAGTACACCGTCCAGTGCACTACTTGGACTTACATAGACAAATTCCTCCAGACATTCTATAGGTCAGGCTCCCAGCCACAGGCTGACTGCAGGAAGAGTCCCTGTGCAGAGGCCCATTTCAGAG